ACCAGCTTGGAAATCTGGTTTATAACCAGTTTGTGTCTCTTGCTGAAAAAAGTGTAAAAGTATTCAAATGTAGATGTGTATCTGAGAGGGTGTTTGTTTTTGGTATGGTTCTTGTACTTGTTTATACTGTATAGTGGGGGAAATAAGTATTTGACCCCTTTGCTGATTTTGCAGGTTTACCCACTTACAAAGAATGCTTATTTTTCTTCATCAGATGGTTATCAATTTTTATAAATTCATACGATGTGATTTTCTGGAATTTTCTTTGGGATTCTGTCTTTCACTGTCAGAATGTACATATGATTAAAGTTATAGATCGTTGCATTCTTTGTTAGTGGGCAAACCTGCAAAATCAGCGAGGGGTCAAAAACATATTTCCCCCACTGTATATATAATTGTTGAAAATAATAAAAAAAACATTGATGGAAAAAAAACAAAAAAAACAAAAAAACAGGACAATATCTCTTTATATTTCCTTCCGTTTTTGGAAGCAAACTAAGCTAAGTCCAGTCTCCTCTCAGGAAACAACACAAGCCTCCAATCTAGGCGAAAGGAAGCAAACGTCTGCAGATGTTTTGGCACATCTGGAGAGGCGGGTGAGGTGTTTTTCGGAGCCCCAGGGTCGGCTTTCACTTACGTTGCTCTGGAGCTCAGAAGCCTCCTTGAGATGGAGCTGCTCTGGGGTGTCTGGGATCATGTGGTAGTGACCCTTACTCTCCTCAAACTTCCTCTTGTAGCGGTACTACGGGGCAGTTCCCGGTAAAGTAAGGCAGCCAACGACAAGAAGGGGGGTTTGGGTCTGGGGTTTACTTTTATACATGAGACAGCAGAAAATGCCAAACGGAAAAATGCTAGGGTGGATATTTTTGTATTAATTGTTAGGGTCGATGTGGGAATAAATGGAGAGGAGAGGTTCGTGTTAAGTGGTCATTAACCCTGTAATGCCAAATGTATCATATCTGATACGTACGGTTTGTGAAATGTTTTGAGTTTGACACCTTTTGCATGATTTAATGGTAAAAACTTTGCTCAAAATCCTGTTGTACTTAATCAGATACACCTGATAACAGGAGGCAGAAGACTACACAAAAAATAATCTTGACTTATCGCATAGTAATAAATTATTAATATTAAAAATGTATTTCTGTTTTTTCTTTTTACATATTTTGTTAAAAGGCCAAATAAGGAATTCAAACCAAAAAAAAAGTTATTTTCTCTTTTGTTTTATTCTTGGATCAGGCTTTAAAGGGTTGAGCTCTTCTCGTTTAAAAAAACCCAGCAAAGTCTGGCGATATTTCACTTTTTTAACAGAAAACTGAGTAAGTTATCTCATTTTCTGTAATAAAAAAAGCATGTTTTTAATGGTTTTCCTCATCTAAGAGACCTAGAAGAGTAAATATTCTCTTTTTCAAATTAAATCTAAGGCTCGTTTCCGCCTGTGTAAACTCAGCTGAATCCTGAGCCGGACCAAAAAAGGCCAAAAAAGGAATTCAAACAAAAAAAAAAAGAATTTTCTCTTTTGTTTTATTCTTGGATCGGGCTTTAAAGGGTTAATAATGGGCTACTTTTGGTCAAAGTTTTGTTCAGGAGGAGGAAGTGAAGCATTAGAAGTTATAGGATGTGAGGTTATGAGAGGTAAGGGTCACCACCAGATGAGGTAACAGGTGAGTTTTTTTTTTTTTTTTTTTTAATGGATGAGATGGTCCGAGGAGCCGGGACTCATTTCCTTGGACCCCGAAGGGTTCAGAGGAAGTGATCCGGATCCCCGCCGGAGGGAGGGAGAAAGGATTAAAGGTTTCTTACGTCGCTGGACAGCTTGCTGGTGCTCAGGTTGTGCTGCATGGACAGGGACTCGGCCATGTCGGTCACCGGTTTGTGGATCTTCTTCAGGTCCCCTTTGTACTTCACCTGTTGGAGGCATTATTTTATTTCTACGTTTTATTTCTTGCTTCTCATAGAAGTTGTGTTGTGTTGTGCACCAAACTCCAAGGCAAATTCCTTGTAAGTCTAAAAAACCTACTTGGCAATAAACCTTATTCTGATTCTGATTCTGATTCTGATTCATTAACGGACCAATTGTGAGTCTCAGATTACAGCCGAGAGAGGTTTTTCAGTTTCAGATGGTTTTCAACAATGAAATCAAACAGAAATCAACGCTTTGTTTGACTTTGTGACGACGCAAACAGAAAAAAGAGTCTTTTAG